CTCTCTCTCTCTCTCGCTCTCTTTCGGTTTAGCCTCTAGTTGCTCTACGGTGGTCACCGTAGTTTTAGTCTTGCTTGTGCTTGTTGTTCATGTTCCGGGTCTTTGGACATTCGTGTCTTTCGCGAAATCACATGCGTTACTAAAACGCACGTCGTGACAGTTCGGTCGTGTGTGGCTCATCATGCATTGTGTCCATCATTGCTGGGTACCTCTCTGCGTTTACTGGTTCGTGGTCTTTGCCGCTTGATTGGGTTACGGTCACCTGTTGACGGTTGCGCATTGAGTTCTGGAGTCTGCCGCATGTGACGAACTCGTCAGTTGAATGCACCATTACTTGTATTCAGTTGAAACCCTGCCTGGTAATGCAGGAGGCAAAAACTGCAAGGGTGCACCCAAAGCTTGAGAAATGTTGAAAGCGCTTCCGCTTAGGACCCGGGTCGTTGGGACGCAGCTCCGCTTGCTGCGCAGCGGCTGGGGAGCTTTGCGGCCGGGGGGCTGCCTCGTCTACTCGACCTGCACCTTCAACTACTACGAGAACGAAGGCGGGCGACGCGGTCGGCGGCCGGATGAAGTTCTCGTTTCGGGCTGTTTTGCCAGATTTTGGACTCCCGATCGAGTTGAGCACTTGCCGGCCGGAAAGCGTCGCATGTTGAGGATTTCCCCTGACAGCCGCACATAGGCATCAACAATTTCAAGCAGACGGCCCAGACGGCACCAGGAAATGAAAGCCTTGCCCAAAGTCCTAGCCGCTAACGGTTCGCTTTAGACTGTATAGACGGAAATTGAATTATAACCAAATCCCACACTGCGACAAATGAACATGATCGTTCGGTGCCTTAAAGTGTTGCGGCTGCATGTGCACGAAAAGGACTCTGCCTCAGCTTTTTGCGGGGCCTCGGCTCCAAAGCTCACCGGGCTCACTGTGTGGATGCAGCATCCCTGCTATCGCTTCCGGCTGCCGTCGCCTCAGTGGCCCGGTTGAGATGGAGGGAGGGTAAGCCAGTTAGCCAGTTCGGAGATGTATGATTCAATTTCTCAGGGAGGTGAGCATTGCTCCTCAGGGTCGAATCCCGAAGGCAGGGGGCCTTCTGGTGATGGTTTCGTGCTCATCCGCCGCCGCATGTGCTGCTCTCAATTCGCACCACCTTCAGACCTCAGAGCTGCGAGTAGGGTTAGTTATCCTGCCCGAAACACTGCTGTAGTATGGGAGGTTCGTAAATCTAGAATCTGAAAGCCCCATGGGGCTTTCAGGCGCGCGCCGCACGTGTGCCCAGCGATCCACTTTCGAGTTTTTGCATCCGTATTTTCGGAGCATCACAAGACATCCACCAACAGAACCCAGCCTCTTCGAGAATGCGGTGGGCCGATCGGCAAGTTTGCATGGCATGTCGCATGCTGTATAGGAAAACCAGCCGGGCAACCATCCTGCAGGCGCTGTTTTCATCCTACGATCTGGAACCTCGAGTCGATTTATTATCCACTTTCGAGTTTCTGCATCCGCATATTCGGAGCATCTCAAGAAATCCCACCGTAAAACCCAGCCTCTTCGAGAGCGTGGTGGGCCGATCGGCAAGTTTGCGTGGCATGTCGCATGGCATATAGGAATACCAATCAGACTGTAGACTCACACTCGGGATTCCCATGTCGCACAAAACAAGTCTAACCGGACCTATAAATCGATCCGGCTCTATAAAGCCCACCGGCTCTATATATGAGTCCGGACAGACCGTGCTGGCAGAGCATAGAAACACCCGGCCCCGATTACTTCTTCAGCCTGCACCCTGTCACCGTCGTCCTGAGGAGGTTCGTGCACGAGCTGAGGGCAACGGAGCTCTGGAGGAGGAGCTGGGCGCCTTGCGCAACTCGCCACCGTTTCACGATTAGGACGATACCGGAAGCTCAAGCTTTGGTCCACTCTAATTGTTGAGCCGACCGCGCAATTTCAGTAAGCCTAAAGACAGTGCCAGGCATTTTCCCAGAAACCTTCGATGCAGAGGGGTTCTATGTCTGCTGCTTTCAGAAGGGGCTGGACAAAGAGGAGCTGGTGCAGGACACAGTGAAACCAAGAGCCAGCACCTCATGACTTGATGGCTCCTGTTCCGGGGAGCTAGATTCGCTCCGCAGCCGTTTGCAGGACGTTCCTGCAAGCTCCTGGTCTGCCACTGCCTTGGGAGCTCACTTCGAGCTGGAAAGGCTGACTGGCTTAGCGGCTTAAGTTGACGTGGGCTGGAGGAGGGCGGGTCGGGCGGTCCCGCGGACATCGTGAAGGAACGCTCGTAAACTCGCTTTGAACCGTCAGCTATGCTGCACCTTACGTGTGTTCCCCGAACTGAAACAACATCCCAGCGACAGAATATGCCCAGATGTGAGACTTGAAAGTGTTGCTGGGGTTCCGACACAACGAAGTGGCTTGACAACAGCACCCCTTCAATCATGGACCTTCCACCGGACGGACCCAAGCCCCCCAGACCAAGTCTTGTGACACCAATTGCTGAATTACAGAAGCTGTTGTGTTGCAACGCTATCTCTTGCCGGGCGTCTGGGCTGTTCTTCAAGGGCCTTCAGCAATTAGAACTCTGCAAGGCTGTCCAAGGCAGACGGGCGAGCTGTAGAAGAGAAGGCGGGTCTTGGCTTGTCATGACTCAGTGATTGTCCAAAAAATCACGCATTCCCCTGCGATATGGAGCATTTGCATCATGACACTTGCTGCGAAATCCGAACTGGGTGGAGGAGTCAAGATGGTTGGCAGGATTCTAGGCTGTCACGGCTTCAGGGCACGGAAGTGCCAGTGCAAGGGCAAGCTCCTGTTCTCTCTAAAGTCTGAAGCTGAGACGTGTGCCATTGAGTCCCTTAGTTCCTCCTTCCTAATCTATCCCAGTCTAAGATTCCACTGATGAAGTCATCCAGCTACTTGGTCCTCTAGCATTGCTGGAGGCTCGAGCAAAATTGGGCTTCTGGCCCGCTTCTTGCAAGCCGCATGAGGCACGGCAGGACTGGTGCGGCTTTCGATGTGGGACATTGACTCTGCGAGTTGCGTGCGCTTGAAGCCCAGCCTGAGCCCCTGAGACAGCTCGAGAAAGGTGCCCAGTCAGTGGCGCGGCGCTTCCGGAATTTGGATGTGCCTCCACGTATATGTTGGGCCGTGCATTCTGCTTTGGTCGAACACCCCCTGCCACCAGCTCTGCGCTCAATGCTTCAGGGAACATACGCATGCGCACAACCCCCAATACATCATGTGTCGAAGCTCGTTGGCTTTCGCCTGCCACAATGACGTGGGTTGCAGCTAAGCTCCCACGGAGCCTTTCACTATGTAGGTCAAGGTTGTGCAGGCAATGGTAGCTCGTGCGCAATACATCTTCAGCAGTCTTTATGAGGCTCCCTCAACTTCCTGCATCTTTGAACCCGGCCCTGCCTCTCGCTGTCCGGCCGGGCATCTTTCTGGGGGAAGAGGCCCGAAAAGCTTGTGCTCTTAAAGCGTCCAGGCGAGATCGTAGGTCCCTGTTTAAACGGTCTTCTACTGCGCAGCGCCACAGGTCGGATCCGAAATCGAGTTGTCGAGGGACTTCCTCTTGCTGGCAGGTCGGCCGTTTAGGTCAATCGATGTCAATCGTGATCCACAGACTTGGTCTGGAACTTGGTCTGTCGAGCCATGTCTCAAAGGCGACCTCCATTCTAAACGCACTCGATGAGCCACCCTCGCTAGTCTCCCAAATTTCAGGCTAATCTTGGATTGCACGGTTGCCCCTGCCTTGGAGGGCAGCGTGCCGCTGTGGCAGCGGCCAAGATGTCCACGCAAGAGTGGCATTCGCTGCAAGACCACCTTCAGCGACCGCCGAAAAATATGTCATGTGAAGTTGTCGAGTCCTTTGGAGGGGTAGTTTCGAAAGAGTCGCTATTGGCAACGCCAAATGGTTTGCAGCCAATCAATGGTTTTCTGCGATGTTCTATTAGTCTTCACCGCACAGGTGGGTCGATCCTGAGCTTAGCAATGTCATTTGACTGGCTCTAGATTTCTAGATCAATGCATCCTGCCGCAATCCTGCCCCTAAGCCCCCGCACGAAGGCTACGCCGTGCATTTCCATTATCGTGCAACGGTGCTCCGCAAGTTTTAGCCCTAACAGAAGGCTCGGGCACGCACGGTAGTCCTGTGATTGATTTCCCCTCAGCTGGAGCGCTCCCGCCGGCCCCACGGTCCAGAATCGCAAATATCGAAGCAACTTGCGGTCTGCAGGCTCCTGAAGTTCATTGCAGCCCCATCGTCGTCGTAATCCAAGAGGACGCCACTTCGACTGCCCCCCGCCGGCTTCCATCAGCTCCACACCACCCACCACAACATGACACATTTTGCCATGGCAGCTGCAGCGCCGCAAGCCACCAGAAGGCCGCGCCGAACAGTGTTCACACCACCTAGTAATAACAGGCCGACAGATCCAAGACGAGTTTGAGATGTCTTTGCAAGTTTGTGTTTTTCGTTTCTTACCGTCCGACAAACACTTTGCCGTGCACCATGCTGCAGTTCCCTCCATGCAGTAGTTGATGATTTTGGCATCCGGGGCCCGGGAAGTGTGCTCGAATCTGCCACGAGGTGGCAATATGAAGCCGACAGTTTAATCAGCTTTCCCCCGACTGTCAACGTGTCAGCTTAGCACTTCGCATATGCGGACATTTTCAGAACCCCGAAACGGCAGCTCGTGTCTTTCCATGGAAAGCTCGTGTGGACACAGGGTTTTTTGCGAGGGAATCCCAAATCGAAGAGATTAATAGCAGGAAGCAGCCGGACCTTCGTGACATCACAAAGCGCATACGCCAAGCGGCTCAGTGGACGGACGGCCTTCAGTTACTCCGCGCCCCGCCTGCAAGCCTGCGATGTTCTTCAATCGGTGATGCAAGGACAGGGTTCCCGTGCTGCGGGGAGTATGGTAGCAGAGGCTGTCGCGATCGTTCTGGATGTTCAGCACTTGCAGCACTCCCTGACCGATCGCTGGGTCCCAAGTTGAGGCGAAGCTACAGCGGGCACTTTGAGCCCTGATGTCGTTGCTGTGGGCGCAGCCATCACAGCCTGTAGCAAGGCGCCACCCAAGCGTGCTTAAGGGTTTCATGAGCTGCTTTGAATTTTGAATTTAGACGAGATCAGGGTTGATCGTGGCACGTTGCCTCGCATGCCTTGATCTGCATAAGATCCCATGTGCTCCAGGCTTTGGAGTGGCGGGCAGCCGCCCAGCTCATGTTCCATCTGGATACTGAGCAGTCTCCTAGTCGCAGACCGATGTCAAACAGTTCTTTGATGCCAGGTTTTCTCCACTTGACAAGAGGGCGGGGTCCCTTATGGAGAGCCATTTAATTTAGTGAGGATGAAGTTGAAGATTGTCTCCAATCCATGAGGAAGAAGGGCAAGGCCGTAAGGCTAAGGGCATCCCCAAAGTGTGGAGCTCACCACTCAGACTGACGTCCGCCTCTATTCACATCCTGAATGCACCAGCGGAGCTGACGGTGGGTTGGGTTGTGCTGTTGTCAAAGAGGCCCGAAGTCAAGGATGCTAGCGTGCTGAGGTCGAGTGTGCTCAGTGAGATATGTTGGAGGTGTTGACAAAGCCGTCAGATGGTTGCCGACTTGGGCAAATGCAGAGAGTTGCTTTAAGTTGACTTGGCGACAGGCAAGAGAAACGACATGCAGATGCAGTGCTTGTGAGATCAGTGCATGTCTGGGCGTGGATGCTTCAAAGGTGGCATCCGGACGTTGGATAGTCTCTTCTACTCCTTGCGCATGTGCTTTCCTCGAGCAACCTCTGCTTGTATTCCCTGCAAGAACGGGATGATTCTACAAAAGGCTGGGACACGGTAAAGAGCCACATGCTCCCCAGTGCTGTTCAGTTCTTGTGTGACAGACGCTTAGGATGCTCTGACAGTCGGAAAGTAATCGATAAATCCTTCCGTTCACAACTGCAGCTTTCAGTTTTCGGGGGCGGCTGTACAACGTTTGTTGATAATTCAGCACAATTGCGCAGTATACCGTTGTGTCATTTCAGCCTTGGCGAGGGTCTGCGCTCGGTTGCGCATGTTTCTGATGCCTGAGTTGTGGGTGTGCTTCTCCAAGTTTGAGCTTGTGGATACTCACGCGCTTCGTCAGTTGCTGGAAATTCCATCAGAGCTCTTGCAATGCAGCGCTCTTGAAACTCGTCTCTTCACTATTCGCAGGTTCCCCCACAGCCCCCTCCCTCTGCAAACTCCTTGTGCAGGTAAAATTGGTCGGATGTGGCGTGTTGTTCCGGGTTTCAACACGTTCCCATCCTAGTACCCGGGTGAGAGATCACAGGGGGAAGAGCTTCTGTTC